ATAAGCATGATAAGGATACAGATGCTTACGCTTTTGTTTGCATTGAATAAAAATGCAATTATTGTTTTATTCAAAATTTAAAGGAATTCATGAACAATCAGTTGATTTGTGTTTTTTTATCATCAATATGGGATGTTTTTCATGAAATATAATAATTATGTAATGCGTTGCTAAATTTTGTTTACATTATTTGAAAATGTCAATATATCTTCTTTTTATAAAAACATTATGCACTGTCGTTTGCAATCAGTTATTCATAATGCCTCTGGCTGGATTATTTCTTCATTTTAATGAAACTAATGAACTTCTATTGTATTTCGTAAATTATGATGAATATAACAAATAAGTTAGTGAAATTTTAAAATTGTGGTTTTCATAAGATATGATCAATACAAAGCATAATAAAAATACCAAACTTAAAAGCATATTCAAAACGGAAAAATCCGTTATGACTGCCAAACTCATTCGCTAACAATCAACGTATCAAGTGTAAAACCATTGTTGTATTCCTGACTTGGTACAGGCATCTTCCGAAGAAAGTGGTGGGTTAAACCTTGATTTAGAGCTAGCTAAACCTTAAAAAAATCTTAGTAATTTAAATGCAAACGGAAATAATTGAACAATACAAATTCATATGTTTTTTTCAAAGATGTTTGACATCAACCTGTTTCTCTCTTCTATAACACGCATGGTTAAATTGATAAATTCGATCATGAAAACATTCAATGTAGTTTTATTTTTTTAACAAACCGAAACTTAATAAGTGTCCAAAATTCAATGAATAATGTAGTTAGAAAACAAAATTGTTAAATTTGTATAGACCAAATGCTTCCGAATTGATCCATTCTTTTCATAGTGTTAAACATGCACTGCCAGTAGTAATATATTATACCATATAACAATATGAAAAAGATACCAGGATAAAAATTATGTATGCCTAACGCGCCTTTCGTCTACAACAGAGGCGGAATATACCAAAAAGACAGTCAAACTCAAAGTTAGAAAATAAACTGACAACGCAATAGCTAAAACCTAAACTGACAAAAAAACACGAAACAGTATACAAAACGCACAAAAACGGATAAGATTTTATGTACTGTTTGTTGATGATTTACCTTCATGGAAAGCGTTCGAACCAGAAATGTTTAAAGCCAAGGATTTATGATAACCGAAACAGTTGAAATATGTGACCATAGAGATCCTGTAGTTCAGTAGTTGTCGTTGGTTCATGTCTGTTATATTTGTTTTTCGTAAATTGTTTTGTTACTAATGAGCATTTAGTTTTCTCAATTGAATTGTTTCATATTGTTCATGTCGGGCTCTTTTATAGCCGACCATACGGTATGGGTTTTTCTCATTGTTGAATGCTGTACGGTTGCCTATAATTACTAATATTCACTTCATTTGAATTTTGATGGATAGCTGTCTCATTAGCAATCATACCACATCTCCTTATTTTTATATAAGCAAGGTTAACTTTACTTGTATGTGTTGAAACCTAAGTTTGTTTAATGATTTCTAAATCTATTAAGCGAAACTTTGAAATCATACAAATATCACATTTCAATATTTGGTATGATTAACGACAAGACTAATTAAATAATCTGAAAGAACAAGCTGTCATCTTAACTTGTTCGCTTTACTACTTATTCAATTAATTTCATTGTCGTTTCTATAATTCTTTGCTTAATGGTATGTGTATTCTATGAATATGTATTTGAATTTTTCAGCATGTAAGTGTCAAGTAGCAAACAGATAAGTATAGCGTACAATTATCTATGCAATTCATATTATAATGATATTTATACAATGATGTTAGTAGAGTAGTAAAGTAAAATAATAAACATACCATGAAAATGATGTGTGATAGACGTGTTCCGTCTACAAAAGAGGCGGAAATACAAAACAGACATTCAAACTAATTAGTCGAACATTAACTGACAACGCCATGGCATGAACCTCAACAGACAAAACGACAAACAACAGTATACATGTGTACAAACAACAAAAAACCGGGATTGATGTGCTGTCTTCTAAATTTACCTTAACGGGAAAAGCTCAAAGCAGACATTTTTAAAAGGACGTAAAATAATCAACATAGGTCAAGTATATGACCATAGAGAACATACACGATAATAATTATACCAACTTAACGTCAACATTACTTGAGGGTGTTAAAACCTAAGTTTCTTTATAATTTCTAAATCTATAAAGCTTCATTTTGAAATCATACAAATATTACATTTCAATATTTGACATGACTCATGACTTTACTATTGAATAATCTGACAGACCAAGCTGTCATCTCGAAATGTTCTACTATCACTTTACTACAAATTCAATTAATTCAATTTTCGTTGTAATAATTCATTGCTAAATGGTATGCTGTATTCTATGAATATTTATTTGAATTTTTCAGCGGGTAAGTGTGAAGTAGCAAACAGATAAGTATAGCGTACAATTATATATGCAATTTATAATATTACGATATTTATACAATGGTGAACGTAGTGTAGTAAAGTAAAACAATAAACATACCATTTTAAGAGAGAAATAGTCGAAAAAAGTATTTAAAAATGTGTTGGTAAAACACTATTATCTACTTTTCTTTAAAACAACACTTTTGGAAAGATTATAAGAAATTGTATTTTTAGATTATTGTTGTCAAGTATTAAAATATGAGAATACATTATGAAATACTATGACTTGATTATGACAGGCGATTAATAGTTTATAAAGCTTGAATAATGTGATTATTTATGCAGCCACTGGATATGCTAATTACGTGAAAATTTGCAAATTTTTCCTAGTGTCACATCTTGGTATGTCTTTATCTTTATAGTAAGGAGACAGTAGTTAACCGATGTCCAAGTTGTGACTTTATGTTTAGTCTTGTTTATTCTTTTTGATTATACCTATCATGTAATTGCTTTTCAAAAAATAGAATGTTGTGCAACATACCATGCATATACTTCTGATTATGCAGTAACTACTTATCAATGGGCGATCAACAAAAGAACATTACATTATCAAAATGCTAGTATTTTCATAATATACATTTCAATTTTTTGTTCTGCTATGATTGCTATGGTGTTTTTTATTGAAATTGGACAATATAAAAACAGTTCTAACAAAACAGACGCAATAATCAATAAAAAATATCAGCATATTTCACCTCACTATTAACAAACGCAACATTGTAGATGTGATAACTTTGCTGAGTGAATAGTTTTAACTTGTCGGGCTTCTTATTTTTTTCGTTTTAATTTGTAAAATTTCATTTTGTGACCTAGTAGAGTTCAAAACGTCAGAAAGGTAAATCGGTCCGATCAGTCAAATATTTTCGCTATTAGTCTGATGAATTGATGACTGGAGTTTAGCGTGGACTTGACTGATCGATGACTGCTGACTGATCGTTGAAACAGTAACTCCTAAGATTGTAAGTCCTATAGTTTTGTGTACGTTGGTAAATTTTCATATCATTTTTTTTTATATCTAATATGTTCGCAATCGTAAACGTCTCAGCATTAGTAAGTGAGCAAACATTTTACTTATCAATAACTTACAATACCAAAATTGAAGGTCTTTGATAAGCTGTATTTTGCAAAACTGTTCAGATTATAAGTCCTCAATGTTCATCAACTTCATACTTTACTTAGTCTTTCAACTTTTTTTTATTCGAGCGTCAGTTTTTTTTAAGTAGAAACTCATAGCTGGGGGTTCACAAGTATGCGCATTGTATATTTAATACATGTGTTTTGCATGAGGTTCTTCACTTTTGATAATGAATGTCACATTTCTAGCATTTTGCATTTTGTTATGTTTGTTTATCAACTAGAACGTAATGGAATGTTGTTCACTACATTCGTTCTTTAGGAAAAGAAGGTTTCCTAATATCGTACCAAACGAGATTATAAAGTGATGGTATAAGATGAGTCAAAATAACCTGAAGTATTGGTCAGTTAGGTATCAGTATTATACCATAAAAAATCTTAGTAATTTAAATTCAAACGGAAACAATTGAACAATACAAATTCAAAGATGTTTGACATCAACCTGTTTCTCTCTTCTATAACACGCATGGTTAAAGTGATACATTCGATCATAAAAACATTTAATGTAATTTTATTTTTTTTAACAAACCGAAACTTAATAAGTGTTCAAATTCAATGAAAAATGTAGTTAGAAAAACAAAATCGTTAAATTTGTATAGGCCAAATGCTTTCGAATTGATTCATTCTTTGCATATAATTAAATATGTACTGCCAGTAGTAATATATTAAACCATAAAACAATATAAAAGAAAAATAGCAGGATCAAAATTATGTATGCCACACGCGCCTTTCGTCTACAAAAGAGGCGGAAGATAGCAAAGAGACAGTCAAACTCAAATGTAGAAAATAAACTGACAACGCCATGGCTAAAACCTAAACTGACAAAAAGACACCAAACAGTATACAAAACACACAACACCGGATGTGATTTTATGTACTGTTTGTTGATGATTTAACTTTATGGATAGCGTTCAAACTAGAAATGTTTAAAGCCAAGGATATATGATAACCGAAACAGTTGAAGTATGTGACCATAGGGAACCTGTTGTTCAGTAGTTGTCGTTGGTTCGTGTCTGTTATATTTGTTTTTCGTAAATTGTTTTGTTATAAATTAGCAGTTTTATCAATTGAATTGTTTCATATTGTTCATGTCGGGCTCTTTTATAGCCGACCATATTTTATGGGTTTTTCTCATTGTTGAAGGCTGTACGATTGCCTATAATTGCTAACATTCACTTCATTTGAACTTTGGTGGATAGCTGTCTCATTGGCAATCATACCACATCTCCTTATTTTTATATAAACAAAACTGGTTAAATCAACCTAAGGTTAACTTTAATTGTATGTGTTGAAACCTAAGTTGTTTAAAGATTTCTAAATCTGTGAAGCGAAACTTAGAAATCATACAAATATCACATTTCAATATTTGGCATGATTTATGACAATACTAATTCAATAATCTGAAAGAACAAGCTGTCATCTTAACATGTTCACTTTACTACTTCTTCAATTAATTTCATTGTAGTTTCTATAATTCATTGCTTAATGGTATGCTGTATTATATGAATATTTATTTGAATTTTTCAGCCGGTAAGTGTCAAGTAGCAAACAGATAAGTATAGCGTACAATTATCTATGCAATTTATAATATAACAATATTTATACAATGGTGTTAGTAGAGTAGTAAAGTAAAACAATAAACATACCATGAAAATGATGTGTGATAGACTCGCGTTCCGTCTACAAAAGAGGCGGAAATACCAAACAGACATTCAAACTTATTAGTCGAACATAAACTGACAACGCCATAGCATGAACCTAAACAGTCAAAACGACAAACAACAGTATACAAACAACAAAAAAACCGGGATTGATTTCATGTGCTGTTTTCTAAATTTATCTTAACAGGAAACGCTCAAAGCAGAAATGTGTGAATCAAAGGACGTATAATAATCAACATAGTTCAAGTATATGACCATAGAGAACATACACGAAAATAATTATATCAACTTAACGTCAACATTACTTGAGGAGGTTAAAACCTAAGTTTCTTTATAATTTATAAATTTATAAAGCGACACTTTGAAATCATACAAATATAACATTTCAATATTTGGCATGACTAATGACTTTAGTAGTGAATAATCTGACAGACCAAGCTGTCATCTTGAATTGTTCTACTATCACGTTACTACAAATTCAATTAATTTCATTTTTGTTGTAATAATTCATTGCTCAATGGTATGTTGTATTCTATGAATATTTATTTGAATTTTCCAGCTGGTAAGTGTCAAGTAGCAAACAGATAAGTATAGCGTACAATTATATATGCAATTTATAATATAACAATATTTATATAACTGTGTCAGTAGTGTAGTAAAGTAAAACAATAAACATACCATTTAAAGAGAGAAATAGTCGAAAAAAGTATTTAGAAATGTGTTGGTAAAACACTATTATCTGCTTTTCTTTAAAACAACCCCTTTGAAAAAATTATAAGAAATTGTATTTTTAGATAATTGTTGTCAAGTATTGAAATATGAGAATACATTATGAAATAATATGGCTTGATTATGACAATTAATAGTTTATAAAGCTTGAATCATGTGATTATTTATGCAGCCACTGGATATGCTTATTACGTGAAACTATCCAAATTGGTATGTCCTTATGTTTGCATAAGGGAGACAGTATTTAACTGATGCCCAAAATGTCACTTTATGTTTAGTCTTGTTTATTCTTTTTGATTATACCTATCATTTAATTGCTGTTCAAACAATAGAATGTTGTGCTACATACCATGTATAAACTCCTGATTATGCAGTAACTACTCATCAATAGGCGATCAGCAAAAGCACATCACATAATCAATATGCTAGTATATTCATGATATAAATTCCAATTGTTTGTTCTACTATGATTGCTATATAATTCACTACTGGACACCATAGATACAAAACACCTATAGACAAAATTGATGCTTTTGTGATTTGTATATAACTCTAAAAGAGAAGATAATGACTTTACAACTATTTTTTGGGATATAGATATTCGTGTTCTCCACTTGGTTTGTCATTTTTTATATCTATACTTCGTTTGAATAGCTACCACATTCAAGAAAACACAGTTTCTAGTTAAGAAAACCAAAAACCTCAAAACAATATGCTGAACATATTCAGTAAAATTTATAAACTGGTGTTTTTGAGATGAGTAATTGCTGTATCGTGATTGTCTCAAATTATTCCTCATTTTAAACTAGCATTTTTTTTTAAATTTTTTTTTATTATTTTTCAGTCTAATGTAAGTATTCTGTACCATAAAAGATAAGTATATTGCAATTATTTGACAAAAAATGAAGAATGAAAGAATAATAGATAGTGAATGTTGTGTATGGTGCTTTTATTGAAATTGGACTATGTAAAAACAGTTCTAATCAATAAAGACGAAATTATATAGAGGTAACAAAACCCATTCGTATATTAGAAGCAATCCGATATTTAGATCAGTATGATTTTAAATGAAATGCTAAGTAATCTAACTTCAAACGTAAACAAATAGACAATACAATTCGTATTGTTGTTTATAACTATTTTTAACAACACCTTGTTTTTTCTCTAGTAATATAAAAATATATTTCAAGTATTAAATACTTTCGTGAAGATCTTCAATGAAAGATTTATTATTTTAACAAATCTAAATGTTATGAATGTCTTTAACCCAACGAATAATATATTGAAATAAACAGATTGATAACTGTATTTGGACAAAATGCTTCCAAATTGATTAAAACGTTGTATAGGTAAATCATTACGACTTAATAACCTGACAAATACACTGCCAGTAGTAACAGAGTATTCCGTAAAACAGTATAGAAACTTTATAAAGAGATCAGGTTTATAATGTTGTACATTTATCTGTAAACGGACAATATTTGAAAGCTTTATAACCCTTGATATGGACAGTTAACCTATCATCACTCGCATATGGAAGTTTTATATTTTTAATTGATAAAAGAACAAACATGTTTTTCAGTTGCATTTGTTATTTGTTATGACAGTAAGACATAACAGGCAATATAAGACTGAAGTTTAACCAGTGCTTCAGAACACATTATATGTTTGTTATATTAAAATTTTACAAACACAAAATTTTAATTTTTGCATGATTACTGACTTTAACATTCAACAAAAAGCTGTCAGTTCTACTATCACTTTACTACTTATACTACGGTTGCTTCTATAACACTTATACTACGGGGCTTCTATAACTAATTGCTAGATAGTATGATGTATTGTATGATCATTTACTTGATTTGATATTTTTTGCAGTCGGTGAGTGAATAGTTTCAAACAGATAATCATAGTTTACCATTATATCGCAATTTATAACATGACAATAGTCTTTGACACTTGAATAATGTACTTCATGTACTTAATTATGCAGGTTGCATAACGCGGAATGATCTTATTGCGTTACGATATTCAAAGTTCTGCAAATATAGTATACGTTTAATATGTCCGTATTTCTGCAAAAAGGTGACAATATGTCTAAATTGTAACAATATTTTTTTTTTATCTTGTATCTTCTTTCTCATTATTCCTTCCATGTTATATATCTATATGGCCAAGCAATGTATTAATTCCCGATATGTACATATTATGCTGTTAACCAGAATTCCAGGTTATTTGATTAATCGTCGCCATGCAAAGTTGTTTCCGATTAATAATAAATGTATGACGTCTGTTTTTAAAACATGGTTCTAGAATTACAAAAACAAAAAAACATGTGTTGTCTTTTGTGTAATTTAATATATATATATCATACTATTACTATTTCAAATATATGTATTATTTAACTTTAGTCGGTAACTGTCAAGTACCAAATCGTAAACTAAAACTACAAACTTTGAACATTTGTTGTCATATGAATTATATGACAAATGGCAGTCTTCTTATAAAAGTGGAAAAAGGTGATAGTTGCAATGTTTGACAATATAAAAACAGTTGCATAAATAACACTGTTACTTTGCTTATAAAAAAATCAAAATGTGATAGAATTGACAATGAGACAGCTACCCAATATAGAGTAAATGATGTTGATGGTAGTTGCAATTAGTCACATTACGGGCTTTTCCAATAGTGAGAAATGCAAATACCGTATATTAAGTAAGCTAAAAAAATCCCAAAATGACAATATGTGAACTATAGAACTTACACTGTTAGGTCCGATAGGTAAATACATTTTGACAAAAGTCATGATATAATATGTTCTCTTTGTAGCTGTACCTGTGGAGAGTAAGTATTGAAGATAAAGCTTACGATTTATATTTTTTTTCGATAGCGCGGATGTACATTATATGCATTAGTCATCAAAAGAAGTACATATAATGATTATACACAATTATATAACTGATAGCTATACGCGTAGTATAACATGTTTCTTTTCAATTAATTTGTTTCATATTTAAAATTTACATGAACAGGTACAATACATCTAATTACTAACTGATCGATAAGGATATGCACAAAATAGCATGTTTCTGCGGTAGTATCTTTTAAACTTGTTTTTGTAAAGAGATAACGTAATTTATGTTTGCAAGTTGCTTCTTATGAAGGACACTATTTGTTTAGTTAAGTGGTATGGTCGTCTTTGACATAAATCGGTTTCATTTGAAAAGATTGGTACTCTTATAGACCGGATACATATTCATCAGATACAGATAATTTCAACAAATAAAGTGACTATATATATTTATCAAAATACAGAACTAGCATGTACTGTTATTAGAGGATCTATAATATAACTTTTACAAAGAGGAGACGACGTTCTTGTTAAAATGCTGCAACATCGGAAGCCATGAATTGTATGACTGCTGTTCCATAAAACTGATCGTAAGCAACATCAGTCCACACTATTTATTGAGTCAAATCGTGACCAAATACAAGATCAAACAGATAAACCAATAACAGTCCTTAAGGATTTGTTCAGTATATCAAACTAGTTAGATATTTCAAAACTAGATATACGGAAGTTAATGTTGAGGACAATTAAACTTCTAAGATGTAAGCAAACATTCACTCACACCTATGACGAACAAAGTTTTAACTTGCAATGCGTTTCAAGAATGATGTATATACTAAGGTAAAACACAACACATTCATTTCATTTATTTCTTCAGATTGCTGAATCACATATGGGAGTAAATATACAGCCAGTAACAAACATTTGCAAGACACAGAAATGATATAAAACACTTTCTTCTGATAAAACAATAATGGAAAACAAATATAATGTTTCCTTGTTTTATTTGTATGTTAGTTTTATGTTGAAATATGTACGATTCTGACAACATAAAAAGACAAACTTTGCAAATAGTTTACTAAAATGGATCACACGAATCATTCATACTTTGATATTTTCGTATATCAGATAATAATTAAATTTTCTCTCGTGACTTAATATTATATTAATTTCGAAATAATTAGCTACACTTCATAAAAATCAAGTGTTACAAAACTACAATGAATTATTGTCATGTTAGTGTCTGTTGTTAGAAAAATAACCTAAACCATTCGAATTGATTCTACTTTTCTATGTATCCTACAATTAATTTTAGAGTAGAACCTTACGTATTAAAAAGCATTATAACGTGTCGTTTAAGTATTTAAGCAATTGAGGCGAAACAAATTAAAATTGAACATTTTTCTAGTACTTCAAGCTTTTGTTCAAGTTAACCACAATATGTCTTTACCCTACATTGTATTTCTAAATGTGAAATCAATCATCAGACATATATATGATTAATCCGTTTTTTCTTCCATTAAACTAGTAACCACGTAGATTGTATTATATATCCATTTAGTATTTTAGTAATATGTATATTTTTTGTGAATGTTAATTTTCTTGTTTTATAGAATTTTATGATTATATTTCAATACGTATTCTTTCTTTTTAATGACACAAACCTTGCAACTGCTTTGACTAGAATTTTTTTTAACTGTTTTGCTAACATCGAAAACAAGTCCAGTAACCCGCTCGACTCCGTTCGTCATTCCGTCCTTTCGTAATTCCTTTCGTACGTCCAAAAGACCTTTGATAGAAAACTTTCGTCAAAGTATTCGCTGCTTCGTTGAAAGAGAATTATCTTATATTTGGCGTGCAGCTTGATAATGTTGAATTGTAGCGTGTAAAACAATTGTTATATCCGCTGTGCAGCCACTTTCTGTTTGCTGATAGTTCGAAATATTACAACTCTGATTGTACAAGGACAATTTTCGTCAAAGTTTTCTTGGCTTGATTGAATGGAAGTGACAAGGTATGTTTTCGTGTACAAGTCCCTCAATCAATAGACCAGTTTCCAGTTTTTAGCATTTTCGTCAAAATCTTTGGTTTTAGTGAACATCATTCGTGCGTTTAGGGGCATCGTCACTTCCTTCCAATGTTGAGCGAGCGGTTAAAAAATATGATTCTATGTTGCTCTAATCATTCGGCAAATTAAATTCTTAGAATTGATAATCAGCGCAGCTGTCATTAGGGAATTGTGATTAAGTACCTACGGAACAAACATAATTTTTAGATTAGCCTGCATAATGATGATCACGAAGATGCTTGATGAACTTTAAAAGTGCAGGGATACAGGCGGTCCCCTCTATCAGGAAAATGACGTCATAAAGGCGCGCATAATTGACAAACTTTTTTTGGCGAAGGACATAACTCGAAAGGTGTCTATTGTATGCTGTGACGCAGATCCAGACACGGTGTTTCTCTTGTTTTAAATACGATAGAGAAAATTGTTAAATAATCTTGCAAACACATGGATCGGTCGTACTTTTATATCTACTGATATCGGATAATGATAAAATATCTTAGTTTATACTTTACGCTCGTGCCTGTTAACAATATACATAATTCATTAACACGGGTGTGCTTATTACTGAAAACTTGCTCCACACTGTTAAGAGAAAAAACGACTGAAATCGCCAATTTATAAATTTTACGAATTGGTTGACCGATATGATATGTTTGTGTCTCAAATCATTAGCTACATGTTTTAAATCGTTTGATAAAGGTACATGTTTCTGATTCTGTCCGATTGTTACATTCTGTAAGCATTCACTTCTTACGGATTTAAGGAATAAAATTACATAAGTTATTAATAGTTTGAATCTGAAATAAAAGTTTAAACACAAAAAACGTAGCTGTGAATATGAACGTAAATGTCATGTAGTGTAAGGAATATGCACTGGAAATTACCCAAAAATATCTTGGAGTATATTTAAACCTTCAGGTAGCTTCACTAAAGCAAATGAATATTTATGTAAAAAAGCAAGGAAAGCATCATTTTGAATTGACAAAGCACTGCATTCAGACAAACTAAATGTATTACCAAATCTTAAATTATTTGACTCATGTGTAAAACCTATACTTCTTTACTGTAGTGAAATTTTATGTCTAGATACTTTGTTGAAAAACAATGCTTCCATGGAGTCTAGCTATTTGTTTATATCAACCTGTGAAAGTACAAATTAAATTTGCTAAATACATCTTATGAGTTAACAAAACTGCATCAAATTTGGCAGTTTTGGGAGAATTGGGTATGATCCCATGTTCTGTTGATGATTCTAAACTTTGTGTAGGTTACTGGCATCATTTAGTCAATTCAAATCCAGATAGTTTAATAAAAAAGATTTATTCATCAAGTGTTAATAATAACTCAGACTGGTATAGAACAAAAATGAAATTGTTATTTGATAAAGATGGATTTAAACATGCTGGGAAAATCAAAATGCATTTAGTAAAAATCGTTTAACTTTTGCTATATATAAAAAACTGAAAAATGAATTTATAAAATTTTGGGACCATTCCATTTCAAAAAGTGTTATTGATAAAAGAGGAAACAAATTAAGAACCTACAAGGATTTGAAGAAGACATTTGATAAGGAGAACTTTTTAAAATTAGATATAGACAGAGCTGATATTCCAACTATGTAAGAAAAAGGATAAGTAATAGTATCCTTATGATTGAAAAAGGCAGACATAAAAAGATTGATTTAGAAAACAGATTATGCCCCTATGTACATTTGAAGTTGAAGATAAATTACACTTTACCATAAAATGTACCAACTCAATGATTTTAGGAATAAATGTTTTCGGAATATTTTACCATCTTTCAATAATCTTTCAGACATTGAAAAATTCAATTTCATATTTCGAAATAATGATTATGATGTCAGTAAATGTGGCATAAAAGGTATTAATGAGATGTACAAGTTCAGACGTTCACTGACTTAAGTTGTTTTATGTTATATATTACATAATATGTATTACTAGTATCTAAAACTGTACCTCCTCAGTCAAATAAATAGAAGGGAAAAAAAATATATTGAAAAATTTCAAGATTTTATATATATCTCTTTATATATAGATTCTACCACTGCATCGAGAGTGATACGATATTTATCTACTCGAGACAGTAACATTTTTAAAATGTAACTGTCGAGAGTGGATAAATACCGTATTACACGAGATTTGGTGGTGGAATCTGTTTCTCTACTGATTTTCAAACAATACGCAGGCAAATTTATTCCTTCTTTTCGAATGATCTGCAAAAAGATGTGTTCTTTCTATGTGACGTCATCAGGCATGGTCGCCTTTTTTCATGCCGTCACAATAGGAAATTCAGAGGAAAGCAAGAAAATTCGACGTCATAATCGGATTTTAGCCAATGAAGAACTGAGATCAAACGAACCACACGTTGATTAATTTTTTTTTATACAATGGGTGCAGAAAGGGATTAATTGACGAAGAATTAAAGAAATATATATATTTTTTTGTTATGTTCTGTATTGATATATAATTGATTGTAATGATTTATGTTTGTTCTTTGTTTGTGTGTTGATGACAATCTAAATTTTGGATTTTATATCAATAAAATCCTTGACTTTGACTTTGACTTTGTAGTGTCGATTACAGTTGTTCTTATTGATAAACCAACTGGAACATATTTTGTTTGGCAAGGAGTAGTGCAAAAACTCATCAAAGAAATAGATAGTGTAAAAAGTTTAACAAATAGTTAAATACATTATGAAGACTCCAGTATATAAGTTCCATTGGTTTTCAAACTTTGTCTGGCTTTGACACTTAGAGTGATCGTAAAAGGGTAGATATTACATACATGAGTCGGAAAAACATGAATTGTTACCGTAAAAATATAAATTGATCGTGTTGCTCGGGATGTTAAAATTTGATGATACTTTGCATTTCGTGGCTAATGGAAAAGAACACGAGATTGAGGGTAAAACATAGGAGCACACGCGTAGATATCTGTGACACCGCTATTTCATAAGGAATAACTATATCAAGATGGCGTCAGTTAACCTTTAAAGAGATGAGTCCATCTTTAACAATAGGAACACTTTGCTCAGAAGCTTCATTACAAGCAGCAACAATCTATAAATTGAGTAATGATAGGGAAAACACAAAATCTAGAAAATCATATAAACAATGAATTCAGTTAGTGCTGCCATATTTTATTGAAATTGTCGAATAATGAACATTTCAGGGAATTCTGCATACAAATATCATTATTTAAAGTTGAAATGACAGTTATTATGTTGGCGAATTTTATCCTTTTGTAATTTCTGAATGTACAGTATGTTCCCCATTCGCAAGCGCTACTATATGAAACTACATTTAAATGACAAATTGTAAAAGACAAAAGACGAAAAAAGACCCCCTGGAAAACTGATTGAATTAAACACTATCATAAATTGTGGTGGCCTTATACAAATGTTATATGCTCTGAAACATAGATGGAGTACCGAAATAATATCATATGTCATTCAGATAATCAGATGATAAAAAATCTTCAAAAGTAAATGGCTTATAATTCAATAATTCTTATACAATTTGCATATCTACAAGTACTTCAATCGGGTTAGTCTGATATAATTTGTTTCCCTTTGTTAGACCATGCCGAAACGTCTCTCGTAACTGTTCTGCAAATTTAGAATCTATTATTTTCATAAATAACTATTATTCCGTTCAAATCTATTTTATTATGCACGCAATACATTTCCGTGATTATGACATTGGGCTATTCCAACAACTATCCATCCCCCAAAGGAAGACATCAGATGTAAAAAAAAATACCATTTCCATGAAAATTTTTGTTTCACCATTACCAAAAATTTATTAAAATTTTCTCGAACTCCAGCATTTAAAAGCGTAATATGTACTACTTAAATAATGATGCTGTCAATTTGTTTGGAAATTTTAATGTACAGATTAGAAGTAATACCTATGGAAGACATTTTTTTGAATCTGGAATTTATCTATTTCTTTCTTTATATTACAAAAAAAACTGGAATTTTCCTAGTAAGTAACAAATGCAGACAAGCATTTTGTTTTTAGTAATAAAGCACAAACAAATCCTTGATTAGATGAACTGTTATCCAATATGATAAATCACACTGAAAAGCCTTTCATAATAGGCAGTTCAAAGTGGAAACCAGCACTACAAGTCTAGTTGTTGCTGAAGCAGGGAAGCAAATGGGAACTAAAGGTATAGCAGCAGTGATGTTAACTCTTGGAGACTCAAGGTTTTCTGGGATGTATATATAGCAACAATTGGTGATGATTTACCATCATGGAAAGCGTTCAAACCAGAAATGTCTAAAGCCAAGGATTTATGATAACCGAAACAGTTGAAGTATGTGAACATTGAGAACCTGTAGTTCAGTAGTTGTCGTTGGTTCATGTCTGCTATATTTGTTTTTCGTAAATTGTTTTGTAATAAATTGGCAGTTAGTTTTCTCAATTGAATCGTTTCATATTGTTAAATTTAAAGCCGACCATACGGCATGGGTTTTTCTCATTGTTGAAGGCTGTACGGTGGCCTATAATTGCTCACATTCACTTCATTTAAACTTTGGTGGATAGCTGTCTCATTGGCAATCATACCACATCTCATTATTTTTATATAAACAAAACTGCTTAAATCAACCTAAGGTTAACTTTAATTGTATGTGTTGAAACCTAAGTTTTTAATGGTTTCTAAATCTATTAAGCGAAACTTTGAAATCATACAAAAATCACATTTCAATATTTGGCATGATTAATGACAATACTAATTCAATAATCTGAAAGAACAAGCTGTCATCTTAACATGATCACTTTACCACTTATTCAATTAATTTCATTGTCGTTTCTATAATTCATTGCTTAATTGTATGCTGTATTCTATGAATATTTATTTGAACTTTTCAGCACCTTGTGAGTGTCAAGTAGCAAACAGATAAGTATAGCGTACAATTATTTATGCATTTCATAATATAACGATATTTATACAATGGTGTTAGTACAATAGTAAAGTAAACCAATAAACATACCATGAAAATGATGTGATAGACACGCGTTCCGTCTACAAAAGAGGCAGAAATACCAAACAGACATTCAAACTAATTAGTCGAACATAAACTGACGCCGCCATGGCATGAACCTCAACAGACAAAACGAAAAACAACAGTATACAAAAAACAAAAAACCGGGATTGATTTCATGTACTGTGTTCTAAATTTACCTTAACGGGAAACCCTCAAAACAGAAATGTTTAAATCAAAGGACGTATAATAATCAACATAGTTCAAGTATATGACCATAGAGAACATACACGAAAATAATTATATCAACTTAACGTGAACATTACTTGAGGAGGTTAAAACCTAAGTTTCTTTATAATTTCTAAATTCATAAAGCGACTATTTGAAATCATACAAATATCACATTTCAATATTCGGCATGACTAATGACTTTACTATTGAATAATCTGACAGACCAAGCTGTCATCTCGAAATTCCAGTTCACTTTTGTTGGTGAATAGGGCTATAATCGTTCAATACCATAGGATCTGATTATTAAAATATGAAAAATACCTAACCGACTAGGTACCTTATAACAATAACACTTCATTTGTCTGCTTTTCTTGAGTTTTTATTTCTTAGTCAAATTTTAGATTGAAAAAAGAACTTGGGATCCCGCTAACATGTATAACACCGCCACCTTCTGTACGTATATGTCTGTACCAAGTCAGGAGCTTGTAATTCAGTGGTTATCGTTTGTTGCTGTGTTACATATTTGTTTATTCGTTCATTGTTTTGTACATCAATTAGGCCGTTAGTTTTCCCTTTTGAATTGTTTTACATTTGTCATTTCGGGGTCTATTATAGCTGACTATGCGGTATGTGCTTTGCTCATTGTTGACGGCCGTACAGTAACCTATAGTCGAACTACTCTCCACTTTCTGAAAGTAACAAACCCTACACACACACACACACACACACACACATTTGCGTACACATGCATATATTTCCGCGGCGGATGCATTAAGCATTATGGATACATATATACTTTTACTTTACGACAATTTACGCTCCGGACTGTACTTTTATCTAGTAAATCTACCTTTTTAGTCACGTGTTTTTGTTATTTTTAATAACTTTGAAGAAAAAGTGTTGAAATAAGAAAAAAGGGAGAAAAAAATGAAAGCATTAGTGTTAATAAAATTATTACACGCTTCAACTATTTGTAAGAATACTAGTCCAAAAAAAGTAACGATACACAAGTTTGAACTCTAATTTATCATAAAATATAATAAATAAAAACAACTGCTATTATCAAATGAAAAATATTCATTTGCAAGTCAAATACATTTGATTGAAAGTATCTGACCAAATTGGAAAGTGGGAAAATACTGTGTTATTGAACACAGGGGTCAAATTTATTTTTCGGGAAATGGTGACAAAATCGGAACTTAATTCCGGAAATGAGAATTAAGTACTCAAATATTTACAGAGGCATTCAGAATGTTAAGCAAACCATGTTAAAGTTTAAAGTTTTAAGTTCTAATATTGATTCATGAATTTTTGTGAAAATACAATTTTTGAAATAACAAAAATTGCAAAAAAAAACATCGCGTATTTGCCTTAAGTCAGTGGTTTTGATAAACAAAATAACTCTCAGTAAATATTAGACGAATTGGGCAATTATTCACCCTTGTACAGTGTATCTAATTTCATTATGTATTGAAAATACATTGTCTTGTATCGTTTATTTTTTTTTTAACTGGTATATATCAATTGGTAGAGAAATATTGTTTTCTGATTATTAAGTCTGGTCCGACGCGGGACATTTGGATGGTTTAAAAATAAAATTTCGGTCTTCACTAATTGAAAAAAGCTAGGATCAACTAAAATAGTGCAGTTCCTCGGACTATTCATGCAACAGAATGGACACAAGAGGAATAGAGTTTTCAATTCTAATTTCACTGATTAAAAGAGCTAACTGAATTCTGTCAAAATTTAACATTTTTAAATGTTCAATCCATAAATGTTCGTTTTCTCTATCGTTTACCTAGAAACGTATGCAATATTTTTAATACTACGTCTAGTTTATCTGAATATTTTTTTTCTGATTTTATCGTTAATTCGGAAGTACTTTCAAAGCAAATATGTATATATTTCTATGACTATGGTGAATCTTGAAAGTTTACAGGTAAACTGTTATAGGTAAAAAGCCCAAATTTCTGGTCAATTTTGTACAGGTGTATCAGACTTTAAAGCGCAAATGCCCATAGTGTTTGAAGCGCATAAGTCTTTTAGTGTTAAAAAAGCGCAAACGTCCTGCACTCGTCTGGTCACGCCTTGTCTTTCACGATCAAGATAATGCGTTGCCCGATCTTTTACGATCAATTTGGATGAAAAATCAACAAAATGAACGGTTTCAATAAAAAAAAAATATCTGACACACAAAAGAATCAGTTTGAAATATATCATTATATATTGAAATGTGACCATTATAGGTAAAAAATGTTTTTTTTTTTAATTAATCCCATAGACTTGGGTTGCGTCTTTTGTGTTTTTCTCATAAAGTACTGCATATTTTCTTTAT